TCCAACTACATTATGCAATACACTGTAACCACCGAACATGACCATGTAAAGCACTGCAGTGAAAAACCCCTCCAGTGAAACTAAAAAACTGAATGGACAAGGAAGTAGAAGAGGGAAAGGGCCGGCCTGTCTATTTTTGTTTTTGTGGGCATGATTGTGCATGTGCACACTTGTATGTGTGCACACTAGTCAAGCGCGCACACTTGATCCACATCAAAGTACCTGTGTGTGTGTTTGTGTTTGCATGGCCCATATCCCTGCAGGTATGTGGCAGAGCAGGTTCATCTGTGTCAAATAGAAGAGGTAAACGTGGACAGACACACCTCTGCCTCCTATTCCTCCTGCAATACTGCTACGTCTCTTTAGGTTTAACTTTGTTGTCAGGCTGCCACCTAAAGGACGGTGCGACCTTAACCTTTGTCTCTTTGATTGGTAAATTCTTTAAAGCACGTGTGTAAACATTTTAAGGTACCCAATTATCGCAGTTTACGCCATCTTTTGCGATGGGCCCATCGCACAGGCTGATATCGCGATGACAATAAATTTTCGATTTATTGTGCAGGCCTAATATATATATAATCTCTGTAATCATCAGTTTGTATCACAATGTTGCACATTGATCTGTTTTCAGAGTGTTGCTGAAATGATTTGACTAGAAACCAGACATTTGTTTTTGAAAAGCAGCTGAGCAGTTTTACAGTTGACCCCATATTTATGAGAACCAGGATAACTTTGCATAAAATGAACACACTGCTCTGAATCTCTCAGCAGACGAGTCTAAATATAAACAGCATCTGCAGCCAGTTCTCTCCAGTGTTAGCGCTGATGGATTCACTGCCTGAAGCGGAGTCTTAGGTTCTTCTGTTTTTCCTGGTCCTGATGCGGTTTATCTCTGAGCTGAATAACACTGGGCCGGGTGGTTATTATTCAGACTGCAGGCTGTGCTGATAAGACTGTAAATTTAGAACTGGCAGCATCACTCAGTCCCTTTCGTTTCCCCACCCATTAAGCGGTGCTCTGGCCTATAATAGGAAATTAAGATGCTGAGCTGCAATCAGAACTGTTAATTGGCTGCTGCTGCTGTGTAGTGAACCCTCAGGCTCAGACTGTGGCCTGTACACCGGGTGCTGTGGTTGTACTTAATTTCTGGTGGAACTGTGGTTTGGTCAGCCTGTGTAATTATCGGCTCTGTGTAAAATGGTAAATGGCCTGTATTTGTATAGCGCTTTACTAGTCCCTAACATCTAGTCCCTTTACACATCCAGTCATTCACCCATACATTCACACACATTCACACACTGGTGATGGCAAGCTACATTGTAGCCACAGCCACCCTGGGGCGCACTGACAGAGGCGAGGCTGCCGGACACTGGCGCCACCGGGCCCTCTGACCACCACCAGTAGGCACTTTACCCATTGCCTACTGGTGGACACAACGACCGAGACTGTCCAAGCCGGGGCTCGAACCAGCAACCTTCCGATTACAAGGCGAACTCCCAACTCTTGAGCCACGATCGCCCTCTTTCTTCTCACAGTTTGGTTTCTTAATGATTTCTGTTCGTGCCGTCTCTGAAAATGACCACTGTCATATTTGGAAATATTTGTTTTGGGAAATATTTGATTTTCCTCCACAAGGAAGAACATAAAACATCGTTAAATGTTTCTGATAGTGTAGCATTTGCAAACTTTAGTGCTGCACACTAAAATGGGTTCTTTCTTCTTAATTTAATTTGCCTGCTTGATTTCCCATGATTCCTTATTTTTGTTTTACTTTAATTTATTTAATCCTAAATGTTCATGGTCATTTCAGACAGAATTAAAGAATTAAACATTAAAAATGTTTATCATTTGTTCTAAAATACTTCTCACAGCCCACCTGCAATAACTACAAAGGCCACACTTGTTTCCACTTTTACCAGCTTGTAAACTGTAGAGGGTTTCTGTGTTCCTGGCATTGACTCGCAAGTGGCTCAGATTTATTGTGGCAAAGCAAACTTAATCAGCTGTTCACCCATTGAGCTGCATCGGATGCATTATACAAGCTCTCCTCTTATTGTCTGTATTATAAGATGGCACTTTAAACACTAGGGTTACTCATAAATACACAACCTCCTAATTTTATGCTTCATAAAAATGTCACAGCGAGTGCTTTATTTCGGATATTTCACTGCAGGAATCCCTGTGCAGAAAATGTGCGTAGGTGCTGACACCTGACTCCATTGCAACCTGTACTTAAAGCACAGTGTACTGACAAAGAGAGCAGCTTCCTCATACTGAGAGGTCAACCTCTTAATGTTCAGTGGCTTCAGAGCTCCGTATTGATTAGCTGGTCAGTCTGATAACACCAGATGTCCGGCACCAGCTGCTCAGGGATATACTGCTGCTTTAACAGAGTTAAGAGACTCCCTGTGCATTTTTAATGAGCCAACCTGGCAGTAAAGACTTTAGTTACATAATAGGGGTCTATTTGATAGAGCATATACAGCTTTGGTGATAAGCATGTTGTTCTTTTCTGTACTCCTGAGATGCTCAGATTGGTACAAGCATGAAGGGGATTTTTATTCTTGTGTTTTTACAGAATTGATACAAAAACAAACTCTTGTTTTCTGTTTCATTAGAACTTCTCATCTCTTTTAAAAAATACAACCCTTTGGTCTGGCAGTAATACACAAAGTGTCTACTTGTCCTGCACAGATTTGATGGAGTATGTAGAGTGTTACACGCATATTGTCATTTACATGAAGGTAATAGCAGTAAAAGGATGTGGATGTATATCACATATAATCAGAAATGACAAAAATCACCATCATCTAAATATCCTCCTTCGTTCGATTGCAAAAGCTTATAACAACAAAGAAGACTCTGGCCTGCCAAAGTGCAGTGAAGCTAACGTTTGATCCAGCTTCAATTAAACAAATGAAACAAAGTAAATGCACTTAAGGCACTGAGACATGATAGTTGCTGTGTATCAAGGAAAATAGCCTTTTTTACCTACATTACATGCATGGATCGCATGTGGCTTGTTGCTGTACTGCTAGTAGAAAAAAACAAAACAACACTGCTTTGTTGAATTCGCAGAGTTGTCTTTTTTTCCACTTAAGCTTAAATTTCCGAGCAGCCTTGAGGAAACTGTGTTTTTCGTGGCCAAAACTGGAGTGGGCGACCACCTCTGTGGCTTTTTAACGGTCGATTGACTACCAGGACTTCCCCTTTGACAGATCCATGCACTAAATCACATGTTTGTGCAGCATTATGCAGGAAGACCACAGAACAGTCACCAGTGTTGCACGCTGCATGCAGTAAAGCAGACTGGCAGCTTCAATCAAATCACTCAAAATACTAAACAGGGACGATGGCAGTGATCCGTTTGATGAAACGTTTTTCGCGAGCCATTTCAGTCCATGAAGAGGATGACGTATTTACTATTTGTCAACCACTGGAGGTAATTTGTCGTGCATTTTAATTAATGGGTGGAAATTTGCTCAGCATTGCAGAAGCTTTCTAGTGAATGCTGGCTGTAACTTTGAAATCTAGAGCTTTGCTTGATAACCCGCGTGGTCAGAAACTTTTAAAGAAAGTTTGGACTTCTGTGAAATGTTTTCACAAATAGAGGGATGAAACTGTTTTAATTATATAATAAGATACAGTATGTATATTGTGGTCCTGTGATACTGTATTGAACAGCTAGCACTTCTACGGAATATCAAGTTCTCCTTGGTACCTCCAGCTGTTTGCTTGGCTCCTGCATATTTCATCCCCATTGATTCCCATGCAATAAAAACATCACAGAGCCAACGTTGGGAGGCCTCAGGGCACTGGCATTATTCATGCCTCTCTCTGCCCTGTCGCTCTGCAGCCGCGCTCCTTCTTTGTAATGCCAACATGAAATAATCATGACAAGAAGCCCATTGACTGGATCACTGGTTCATCTGGGTTTTAAAGGATGCTCTGTCATTAGAGCAGAGCTGTACTACACAGCAATAGAAATGTTCTTCTTTGACTGAACAGGAGCTCTCTTGTTCACATGGCACTTGAATATCACCATATTTTACGTTCTTAGGAGGTTAGAGTTGTAATCATGTTTGCCACTGGTTAAAGTGACGGTTACAGACTCACCCTTAAAAACATTTGAGTCATGGTTGGTCAGGTTTTCCAGCTTGTTATACAGGAACATTTTTGTAAGTGTTTAAGTATCAAGACCAGATTGCTGCATGTTGAAATTAAAACAGGATCTGAAACGTAACTCATATTTTCCTTGTGAACTTGAATAGCTCAGTCCAGCCAGTATCATTTTTCACTGTCTGCAGAAACTTCTTCTTCTCAATGTGTACGGGGGGGGACAATGCAAGTTAAAAAGGAATTCTTATCGTTAGCAGTTATCCTGTTAGTTTTTAAGTAAAAATGTTAATCAACACATTAGGGTTTGCCAGTAACCAGTAACAGTCCTTTTCTGTGTTCAGAGTTGTTCAGATGAGGTTGGACAAACTCTCATCCCAGTGTTTAGGATGCATCTTGAGCTAGTTTAACTTCCTCTTTTCTACCTGACATGGGTTATTGCCACTCCCGGTTGTATAATCAGCAGCAACTTCCTTCCCTTGTCCTTCTCCAAGTTCAATCAATGATCTGCTCCTCCACGGCTCACAAAGCCTTGAAGTAGAGCTTGTAATTTCTCTCTGACTTTAGTCAGTTACTCAATGCTCCAGTGCAGCTGAGAGAGTAGAGTAAACCTCAAACCTACTGTGAAGATTAAATGATTGACTTCATTTGAAACTCTGTAGGAATGGAGTGTGGGGGTGAGCTGTTTGATGTACGTGCCGTTCTAAAATGTTTCAAATGAAAATGTCTACCAGCTTGTGCGTGCAGCTGGTGATTTACAGCCTGAAAGCTGTGAATATTTTACATCATGCCCCTTCACTTACTGTCCAGGAACTTTTATGTAACAGACTTACATCCGGTCACAGATGAATCACAGTTCCCTCTTTCTTTTTTCCCTTCCTTAGACTGTGTCTTCTGGCCAGGGCCGCCCCGAGTCACCTGTCTACAGCAACCTCCAGGAACTGAAGATCACCCAGTCTACCCAGCCCCCTCTGCCCTCTGGCTCCCCGCTCCATGTGGTTGGAGACTGGGAGACCCATAAGGACCAGAATGGTAGGCACTTCTACTACAATCGCGCCACCCAGGAGAGGACCTGGAAGCCACCTCGAACCAGGGACAATAGCACCAGAAACTTGCAAGGAGAGAGCCACAGCACCGGAGAGAGCTCAGAGGTAAACGCAATTTACCGTAGTGGAGGTTCGTGAAGTATCGCGAGCATTGGCAACACTTTTGGGTTGCCTTTTCCTGAGCCATGTGCCCTAGTATCAAGATGCATTACTTTGAGTTTTAACAAGCAGTGACATAGCCTCGTGAATAAATATGAAAACATAACATTAGACTGATATATCATTTTAGATGCTTAATATGTGAAATGATGGATAACAATACATTTTAATAATGAGTTGTGTTGCTGTGAAATGTGTAGCAGTTTCATTGAATACAGTCTGATTTGCAAATGCAATATATGACACTTTGGTAACCATAGATATTTTGGTAAACAGTAACAAATAGAAATATAAGCTGCTGCTTGGACTATGAGTAAGCCTGTAAGATGATCAAAATGTTTGGAGCAAGTTCAAATTGTTTAACACCCAGCAAGAGCACATAAAAGTGACGTGATACTGCCCATCACATCATTGGTACTGGAAAGATGCTTTAGATAGCTGTTACAAACATTACAGAAATCAAATACTTTTTTCATTTTAGGTATTTTTATCTTGAAAATCAGCAGAAACATAGTAGACAGCAGTCTACAAGTCAGGTAAAAATGCAGGCTGTAAGAATCTGAGAAGTAGAGATCATAAAGGGTCTGGTCCTTTTCCTTTTTTTGCCATACATGTCAGCCTCTGATCAATCACTGCATAATTAATATGTACTGTCCCTTTTAAATAAGCATTAAAATAAAGCAGGTGCAGCCAGCCTTTATACAGCTCTTCTGACAAAGTTTATATTTTATTAAATCCTTTAATCTAAATTAAGTCCCAATTGTTATCGCATCAATTTTTATAACAACATGAACTCGGAAATGTTACTGTTAAACCTTCGAACAGGTGAGCCATTAATCACCTGATGTTGCAAAAATGTTGGCAAAGTCAAACTGGTTCTCACAAGCACACAGTTACATAAACCCGCTTGTACACAGAAGTTGTTCATATATACTCACCCAGCGTCAAAGCATGAGTCAGAGACAAATATTAAACTGAAAACAAATATGCCGTGGCAGTACTTCATCACATATTGTGGCTGTCTTCTCACTCACATTGCTATACGCGTAGACAGACGGAGGCAACTGCAGAATTGCTCTTTCAGCCCCGCCAGATTGTTTTGGGAGATTTGGATTATCAGACAGAATATATCTCGGAGATAATGAAAGTTCTTGTTTTCTTTCTGACGCAACAACAGAATGATTTGTCCTCGAAAAGCTATGAGTAAAAGTCCACAATGCTGTATTTCAGTTCAAATGAGATGACTACAGCTGATCAACAGTGAATGACTATTTTTATAATCAGCTCACACACATACACACACGCGCTAGTGACTTACCACATACCCCTGAGTCATCTCTAATACTGACTCAGCCTCTGTTTCATTAAATGACTGCACCACACTGCCACCTACAGGCCCAAAGCAGGCACTGTCCCCTCATCTGTTCTGTGCCACAGTGCGGGAGCTGCCTTCATCACTGGCCAAAATCAAGCAAGAACATTTTTAGCACTCTGTTGACGTTTCTGGGTCTCTGTACTGAATCAAACTGGTGTTGGGTGTTTTACTGATGATTTATTGTTTCTGGGTGCATGACTGTCTTTTCTTCTCTCCAACGCTGTGGTGAAATTTGCCCTCTCCTGTCTCTTTCTCTTTTTAAACAAATGGCAGACCACCCCTCTCTCGCTCTCGCCGTCTTTCCTCCCCTTTCTCTCGCTTTCTATTGGTCGACTGCAGCCTCTGTCATCGGAGGACACCTGCTTCAGTACCTACTCTACCTACTCTAGCCAGTCAGACAGCCAATATGGCTCACCGCCACGTGGTTGGTCGGAGGAGATGGACGAGTACGGTCACACGCTGTACGTCAGTGACTATACTAACGAGAAGGTACCGGCTGCTCCGCTCCAATCTGTTTTTACTGCTGGGGGTTTCTGGGACTGCACGTGGGAGCAGGTTTTGATTTGATTTGCAGGAAAGTTCTGCTTGGGGGGCACAGCACAAATGTTTCCTGTTAACAAGGAAACTATGATGATACCAAACTATACACACTTTTACCTATTATTTTCTTATTGTCATAATTTGTTTTAATGGCTTTTATGTGTAACTAAAAGGAAACCCAATTAGGTCAAATCTACTCAGAAATTAAATTAATAAAATCTTAATCAAGACAATATAACAGAAGGCTGAAAATTAATATATAAATAAAATACATTTTTAGGATTCAAACCACTGAATGATTTTTCTCCGGTGTGTCTGCTCAGTGGTTAAAGCACGTTGATGACCAGGGAAGACCTTATTACTACAGTGCAGACGGCTCCAGGTCAGAATGGGAGCTGCCGAAGGTGAGACGCTAAAACAGTCGAGCGATGAGAATTAATGGCGTACTGACCTGTCGTACAGGTGAGCACAGTGTACGTGCTGCACAACCGCACAGGATGGACCACACGTGATGGGGCGGTAAAGCTTCATACTTCAATGCGACAAGCGATAACTAGAGAATACTTGCGACATCTCTACTGCACCTAATAATTTAATATATTATTGCAAGGGCTTTTTTTTTTTCTTTTGTTAAGGAAAAAATGGTTTTATGGGTATACTGAAGTCATGCAATTCTTTGTTTCTTCAATGAAGTACAACCACTCCCCTCCCCAACCCTCTGGGGATGCTCCAAAGACCCGCAGTCTAGACAGAAGAAATGTGGAGCCCATCGTCCTGACCAAGTGGAGACATAGCGCCTACGTCCAGGACCCAGCTGACAAGGTCTGACACCCCTATACAACAAATTGTCAAATTGTACTATTAGCCTCATGCACCTTACTTATCCTTAAGGTTTCCTGCTGCACCTGGATTTAAAAATAGACCGAGATATTTGTTGAGTTAAGATTTTCAGTTGTAGACTGATTGCTTTGCAGCGGCTGTTAAAAACCAGGCGTTTCCGAACAGGCTCTGCACGCCCACATCCATACAAACACCAAGTCAGTGTTTGTTCCTTCAGCCTGCATGACCGTAATCGCACAACCGGAGTGATTATTAAACCTCCTTTCTAACTCTCAGTTGATTTTATTTTTAATTTAAATAATTTGCATTAATCACAAACTGGACTTTTGCAGCAATGTTGGATGATTGTCTTTAAAATGTACTGATTAGCCTGAACATGAAGTAGTTATAGCTGCATGAAACCTCATAGAAACTGTAGTTGCATCCACATCTTAATTAATAATCCTTTTGTGTCTCCTGGAAAACACACAGGTACTAGACACACATTATAATCTCACTGCTAATTACCATCACCCTCTTTCAGTTGTCCGTGTCTCCTTAACCTTGCATCATATTCTCATTAACCTTCTTTTGTTAGCCCATTTGACATTGTTTCTTTTTTTCATCCCTGTCTCCTGACTAGGACGCTCCTTTGGGTCTCAAGCCCCCCTCTCCTGACTCTGACTCCTGCCCTTCGTCTCCCAAGCCCCCCGCCTCTGTTAGTACTCACCACTAACCTCACCTTCTTCACCTCCTGCAGGGATTTAACGTGGTCTCAGATTGTTGGATGGTGACACATGTTGTATGGCAGGTTTCCTGCACAGGTCTTTGTCCCAGTTAAATAAAAGAAGCCCAACATCCTGAAGGAAAACTAAAGTCCAATTGAACAAATACCTTAAACCTGTGTAGGAAATCCTGTTAATAAGCAGCACTGTGGATTATAAAAGCATTTCTTGACCTTGGTTAAGCACACAGAAGTTTTTATATTGTCAGAAATTGTTTCTCTGGGTTGGTTAATTCACCAAAAATCACCGTGTTTGTCTGAATGTTGCACAAGTAGTTTTAACGTTAGTTTGTTCTAATACATTTTCATTCATTCAATTCTGCCTTTCAGAAAAGTGGTATAGTAGATTTTTGGATTTTTTGCCTACAAGCTAAAGGCTGTTATTATTCTGGTGGTGGGATGTTTGGTGGTGGCGGTGGTGTTTTTATACAGCAGTAGCAACCAAGATTAAACAGCATCTCTCTCTGTCTCTTTTTGTGGGAATTATCAAAATTAATCAATGTTAAAACTGTGTATTAATTTTTTCCCCCTCTGCAGCCATCTGAAAAATGTGGAATTCTGAATGTGACAAAGATCACTGAAAATGGCAAGAAAGTGCGGTAAGTAGTAGTAAGTAGCATGATGATTAATATTATGGTTAAAGGGATTGATGAGTTTGCCAGTCAATTTCTCCATTACCCATAAAAGAATTTCAATATATGAGATTAAAAATAAACTGAAGCTGCCTCGCCATAGTTTCAGGTCATGTCTCCACATATAACCAACATTTGTGACACAAATGGTAAATGGACTGGTTCTTGTATAGTGCTTTTCTACTCTTCTGAGCACTCAAAGCGCTTTACACAACTTGTGCATTCACACCAGCACATTTTTCTAGGTGCTTTCTAAGTAACATTCATACATATTCACACTCCGATGGATTGCAACATGGGGTTAGTATCTTGCCCATGGATATTTGGCATGCAGGCAAGGAGCAGCCTGGGATCCAACCACCGACCTTCTGGTTAGTGGCTGATCTGACCCACCTGAGCTACAGCCACCCCTGTAGCTCAGGTGGGCTTACAGGTTCGTACCTGGACTTTTCAGTCCTTTAGTGTGTGTGAAAAAGCTGCTGCCTATTTATGACTATTGGATTTATTTATTTGCTTTTTAAATGGAGCTTCAGGCGACAATGTATTTGCAGAGGTACTCGTTTAACTCGTCTTCTTTATTTTTGTTGGTGAACGACTTTGCTGTGTGTGATAATGGTGCAATGAAGACTGTAGGAGAGACAAGTGAAATGTTTTACACAGTGAAAAAAACTGAATTATTTAGTAGAACTAAACTACAGAACCAGCTAATGTTGTGACTTAACACCATTTTAGCTCTTCAGCTGATATCTCTGCCACTACATCAAATAATCGTGGTCAGCCAAATCAGTCAACATTGTACATTGTCAGTGTGTAAATGTTTCATAACACCCGGCGCTCCTGTTTGTCGCTTACACGTTGTGCATTATGGAGGTTGGATATCACTACTCTTATTAGGTGAAGGTTAACCTTCTTTGCCGCCATGGCAGCAGTGCCGCAGGGGGATGATAGGACAATCGAACTATAGAGAAAATCCAACCCCAGTGAGTAATACTGTCTCAGTATTATTATCAGCACAGCAGAGGGTCTCTCTTATTAGGCTAGTCCCCTCATGATTTAAAAAATAATAATAAAAGCTTTTTTGCACATTTCCCTGTAAGTTGCACCAGGAATCATTGTGTTGTTAAAAAATAGGCCACAATTTGTCCAAATTAATCTGCTTTCTCAAAGAGGGGTCCACACTGGAAACAATTAACTTATGTAGTACTTTGTGGCTGATGGTTGGTCAGACTCCAGTTGCCTAGGTAACCCTTGAAAGTATTTACCAACCCTGTAATGTCAGTCAGCGGTATCCTTTGCTCTCGCTTTTTGTGAGAGGAAGTTGAATAAAGGACCTACCTGCTCAGCAGAGGTATTTTGCCCATCATTATTGAATGTTTGACGTTCTGTAGTCTCTGGACACCATGCTGCTGCTAGGACATCTCTTTACTGTCAAATATTTCACAGCGTGTCTGTGTAGGTTCTGAGTCATCCAGGGCATGGTAGTCTATCTTAGAAGCTTTTTTGAACTTCTTCCCATATGAGTATGAGTATCACAGCCTGCTATGCGACGCTGATGTAATGTGTTTAGCCCATGCAGATGTTTTGTTTTTTTCTTTTATTTACCACATTAGGGTTTCTTTGTAATGATAAACTTAAAGATTGATGCATGCTGTCATTACTTTTTTCTTTATAAATTCCAAACAATGCAGCATGACACACGATACTGTTTTTCCAATATTTTGGAAATTATTTTGTTACACCAGTTGAAATACAGGCTATAGACGACATTAGAAAAATAAATAAAGTAAATGGACGTAGCTTCTTTCTATGAAAAGTGAAGCAAATGTAGAAGAACCTGAACTTGCATTCTTTTTATTAGCCACAAGGAGGATAGCTAATAAAAGGCTGCAAAAAGACTTAAGATCCTATCGAAGTATACGAGAAATCGGCTCATACATTTCACCTCAGTAAACATTTTCCAGATGAGTTAATGTCCTCAGTCACTCCTCTCAGGTCATACTGAAGTCTGTTTGGTACATGCTGGTCATTCTAAGGGTCAGAAAGGATGTATCCAGGTTATACTATTTGGTTTCTGATGGGCAAGTCACTGGCCAGAGCTTCACAGTTAGACCCACCCCTTGTTCATCACATTCGCTTCAAAAGCAAGACGGCGATGCTGATGGCAACGATGCTTATCTTAAGACTTTAAAACTAGACTTCATAAACTTGTGGGTGATGTTAAAGTGACTATGTCAGTCTTTTACCCTGTCGGATGAGTGGAGGACAAAAAGATTGAAAAACAAAAAAGGAGGCAGTTAAGTACTCTCAGTAAATTAACAATAGAAACGATCCCGTGAATGTTTCTCCAATTCTTTTCTGTCTTGCATGTACATGATGTAGTTGTCTCTAATCTCAGCACTTGTTTTAAGTACATGAAGTATGTTGTTTTTGTTACTATTATTATTATTATTATTTACATCCATTACAGGAAGAACTGGACTTCTTCCTGGACCGTCCTCCAAGGTTCAACACTCCTGTTTGCCAAAGGACAGGGAGGTGGAACTAGCTGGGTGAGTGATAGAAACTTGCTGCCATTAAAAGCTGTCGTTTCGTATCAAAACAGAGCCACACACTGTTTTGTGAACATTAAAGGCCATTGAAAAGAGTTACTAATGTGGCTCTGCTGCTCTGTTGTATTGAAAGACCTCCTTCAGGGACTTTGTCATCTGAGTTCACTTTCTTACGCTTCTGACACAGCCTGTATCGAACACCGACTTTCATGATTAGACGTATGCCCAGCAGTATCCTTTTCATTATGTACAGTTCAATTTTGATTGCAGCTTTGTTAACACAGTCCATAACTTCATACATTAGGGAATATTTTGGAGGTAACTTCTCCTTTTGGTGAAGTCTCACTCACTCAGTGAGGCCTGAAAAAGGTCAGTCTCAGTGGAAAGGTCGTTCTGCTTATTTATAGTGCAGGTCAGTTCCTTTGATCTGAAGGGCAGATGTAGGAGTGTTAAGAAACACTGTGTGCATTTAAGCTTTTGAATTGGATGACTATCTGGTTTCTGTTATCTCAGTCTCAAGGGCAGCCTGGCTGCTAACTGTTCCCTTACCTGTTGGATATAGTTAGCTGGTGGTTAAGAAACTCTGTGACGGGTTAAACTTCTGAATTAATTAAGCATGGCTCCTGTTAACATTTAGGTTCATCTTTTCTCCTTGTTGTCAAGTGTTGCTTCATAATCTGTATTCTGTACTTATTCCCCTGCATCTGGGGTTATTATATAAACCCCATCTCTTCAAAATTTGCACAACATTTTTCAGGCTGTTTGTTAGGTCACTGAGGGGGAGTTGAATATTCTCTCTTCTGTATGTGTCCTTTTCTTTCTATGCCTCCATCTCTTTACCTTTGGCCTCATCCTCCCATCATCCTTTTCTTTCATTCCTCCCTCCATCCCTCTGTTCAGCCATACTATCAGAGCGGCTACTTCCCTGAATTGCTCCTGTCACTGTTGAGTAACTGGAGGCCGTCAGCTAAGAAACAACCTGATGTCTCCTTTGGCTGCTCAAGGCTCAACCGAGCCTCCTCTGTATGTTCTTCCTCCTTCCTTATGCGTGCTTCCAACTCTTCCTACTTCTCTGCATGCCATCTTCCTGCTGTCTGTCATGCTCTGACTAATATTCACTGGCATGACTCAAAGAAAGGGACGATATTGCTGTCATTACTTGCTAATCTCTGGGTTGACTTGATGTATTTTTACTGTTTGAGTTGACAAACAGGATGTAGATTTAATTTAATCATAGAGTTGTTTGGTTAGAAATGGAAAACTGGGATGGAGATCTGCAGGGCAGCACAATTATTGATTTCTCACACAAGCAGGATTACCTTGAGTTTTAGATGTACTTGTGCAAACCAATCTTTTCTGGACTGCCTTTGGTTTATGAGCTCCTGATGTGAAACGAGTGCTACAGGTGGATTTTGTCATTTTTTTTGTTTTTGTTTAGCACACAGGAAGACTACAGATCAATCACTGGAGTTACGTTTTATATGCATGTGAATTTGGATCAAATGCATGTTTTTTTTGTTTGTTTGTTTTTCTTATTGTTTTGATTTTTTTTTTTTTTTTTTTTTAAACTCTACTATCAAAAAGTCATCAGTCTCGTCAGCCAATTGGCTGAAGGGTGAAGACACCTGGTGTGCCAAGAAAAGGAAATACTGAAGCAAAGTGTGTGCAATTACATTGAGTCCCTAGTACTGATTTAGGTGGTGATGGGCACTTTACTCTATCGTAAAGGCAGTTGGACATTTTAAATGTTATTTCTTGTCTTCCTTTGAAGGGAAGTTCATATTTAAGCCTTTGTTTTCAGCAGTAAATTAGGCAGCAGAGCACTGAGTAGGCAACTAGGACGACCACATCTAATACACTTGCAAGGAAAAAGCTGAAAATACAAGTAGTACAACTCTCCATTCATATTCACCATTAAGTGTTTGGCCTCGACTGAAACTATTCTTCTGTTTTCTTCCTCACACTTTAAAAGCTAAGAAAATTTTACAGTTGGGGCAGAAACTTGACTGACGTGCGCACCATTATCATTTGACTTTTTCTTTTCTTTGATGTGAGCTGTTGCATGGTTCAACAATCAAAGAAAAAGGAGACCCCTGTATATAAGCAGGCCCTCTGTTTGTTAATATGATTGTTTTTCTGTCTCTGTCCAGTTTGGAGGCGGTCAGTCGAAACCAGAAATCACAGTGGATCTGAAGGGCGGCTCAGTGGAATGGGCTTCCAAAGACAAGTCCAGCAAGAAGCACGTTATAGAGGTGAGGGAGATCTTAAATAACATCCAGTCTTTTGCTTTTATCGCTTTTTATGAGGCGTCACTGTTTTTACATATCATTTTTTATTCAGAATCAAAATAAAATCTATTAACTGTAGACCAAAATCTCTTGTTCGCCTCTGTCATATTATACATCTGTGCAAACATTTTAAAGAACTTCAACTATTGAAAAAGCTACAGCGTTGAAATCGAAATTGTAATTTCTTTTAAACATGAGAAAGTTAGTAGCGTTATTTACAGATGAAATAAACACATTTTTTACTTTATGAACAAACGTTGAAAACATGAGAAAGGAACAAAAAGCCATCACAAACAAAAAAATCCAGCACTTACTCCTGAGCTTTTATTTCTGTTTATTGTATCAAAAAGGGATTGTGCATGTTGTTTAACATTAGTGCTTGGGTGTGCCATGTAAATGTGCAAGATTTGGCTATAATTTGTTTTATGATTTTCCTCTGCTGTCCCCAGTGAGTTGCTAAAGCATCTAAATACATAAATGACAAAACAAACACAGCCAGTTACTGAAACAGTAACATGTATGTTACTGCAGATTATGACGGCTTGCTTGATTGAAGTAAATGTTTCATATTCAGGTGGAGAAAGCATTGAGTGATGTTAATATTTCTCAGTTATGAAGTACAACAGGTTTTTCCTGGTTTAAGCTTCTCTGGTGGGTCTCACAATTTCTTATATGCAGGACATCCAGCAGTTATTGTAAAATGTTTAGAGAATAAACTATCGCTCTGGTGGATTCGGATGTTTTGTGATTTTAATCAGTAGTCAGTGCTGCACTCACAAACTCAAAATGTTTATGAGAAAAATGATTTGTGCCTCTCTGCAGCTGAAGACTCGTCAGGGAACAGACCTGCTGATCCAGTCAGAAAACGACAGCATCGTCAACGATTGGTTCAAGGCGCTGCAGGACACCATCAGCAACCATGTGAGCAGCAACACCTTCACTCTGTCAATATAGTTTCCATCTGTTTCAAACAGAATAAAGTCCATTTTAAATCATCTGCAGTGAGAAGATTTGTGGTTCAGCATGAAGGAATACGTCCGGGTTTGACATTGTGCGGGTGACTGATAAGAGAAACAAAGAGGACTGCTGTGTCGCAGTTACCTTTTTGCTCTGAGCACAAACTAAACAGCAGCTGCTCATTTTTACCCACTGAGGGAAAACGTTAACCAACAATAGGTTTTATGGTCTGAATGAAACGCAATTTCACATTTATGGAAAACCTACAACCAGCAACTGTAAGGGAAATAAACACTTCAAAGCTACATAAAAGCAGAGTAGCGTGAAAATTAAACTGAGAAGATAGAGAGTTTATTGTTTTCTTTCCAGAGGCCAAAGAGCACCTTTTGAGACTTTTACAAGCGGTTGTATCTTATTTCCTTGTGCGTGTATTTTTTTTTCTGTGTGTATTAGGCCAGTGAGTCTGATGACCCCATAGAGGCGGACATGCCCGAGTCGCCTGGTGCGGAGAAACATGACAAAGAGAAAGACCGCAGAGACTCCAAGAAAGCCAAAGGTGTGCATGCTGTTAAATGGTGGGATTCATTCATTCAGGGTGTGATTCGAGAAATAAAACGTGACTAAAAATGACTGAAAGTAGCCACAAATCATCACATGCCAAATATTTACAGTAGCAGTAAATGACTAACGTGCATGACTCCTCTAACAAAGAGCAGAAGGGATACATGAGTGAAAGCACAAAGTACAACAACAAGCCTATTTGGTCAAAGGCCTCAGCAACCTCATCTGCCCTCCTTACCCTATAAAACAATAGCTTATCAGTTTCACTCCTCCAAAACATCATGGCGATCAGCGTGCTGAGACGAATGGTGGATAACACCGTCCTGTCTCGTGTCTCCTCCACAGCCATGAAGCCCTCAACCAGCATGGACTCCGCCGAGCACAAGAAGACCAGGCACAAGCTGAAGAAGCTCCTGACCGGCCGTCCCACCCTTCAGACCGTCAAGGACAAGGGATACATTAAAGGTGCCAAAGAAACAACAGCAACACTCGAAATGTTTTCGGTTTCATTTCTTCTGTGGAAAGTTGAAAAGATGTTACAAGCAGCAAAGGTTTGGAAATGTGATGACAGCAGTAAAGAAGCACACATCAGTGCTTTTTTTTTTAACCACCGCTTGCCGTTTAAGGTTAGAGCTGTACATTTGGATGCATCACGTGAGCTTTGGTGTGTTCCTTGTTATTTATTTTACTTTTAAGACTTTTGGCTTAAGACATCAGAGTCCAGTTTTCACACATAAATCAGGAATTTATGATTCGTTTTCGCCTTCTGTACCTTAACCTCTAATAAAAACTAAAAGCACTGAAGTACCAGAGGTCTAATGTTGAGATCTGAAAGCAAACTAGTGTGTTTGGTCTGTTTTATGACCGTTCTTTATTTTCTGTCTCCAGATCAGGTGTTTGGCTGTGCTCTTTCCAGTTTGTGTCAAAGGGAGAACACCACGGTGCCGAACTTTGTCAAAATGTGCATTGACAATGTGGAGAACAACGGTGAGTAACTTTGCTGTTAAGAGAAAATCATTCTACTCTCTGTTTTCCTCCCTGTCATAAAAGAAAGGTGAGGTTTACTGCCTACTGAAATAAGGTGCGACTGTGGTCTCCTTTTAGCTGATTGTGCTTTTCTGCTACTCAGACTTTAAGGTTAATTTACAGATATTGATAAACTGGTGTTGATCCCTGCAGGTCTGTCGGTAGACGGGCTGTACAGAGTTAG